CAGGGTATCTCCTAGTCGAGCAGTCTCGACTAGAGTCTTCTTACTTGTTTTTCTTGTATTGTGTATTCGTTTGCTTATATTTGTGCAGAACGAAAGTCTGTAACCACGATGATGGCAGCCAATACTCTGAATACTGATGTATTCTCGTTTTCTAACTTTTGTTTACGAGCCGTGTTGAAATTGGGAAGTCGCCGTCATTAATAAGAGTTACATGTATACATATATACACATATATGTTTAGATATATACTTTATACTATCATATGTATGTATATATATTTATATATTTTATACATATGTACTAACAAGTGGCTGAGAAATAGGTCCACGTTTCGCCCGTGCGGAGGTCGCATTAACAGCAAACCCTTTTACTTGTCGTTATACAAACTTGCGATGTCTATTTCAGCACTACAACCCCACACTACACACACAAACACATACACACACATTCACAGGCACACACACAGATTCACATACATTTAGTAACATAGATGGCTTTAGCCCGGGTCTATAGTAGACAAAATTTAACGTGCCACCGACTCGTTTAATAATTGCTCAGAGTGCGGTGCGATTTGTGTTTGCGCGGTACTGTGTCGCTGGACCATCAAGCGTGTCGTTAGGCCTGTCAGGCCGCCCCAAACCGGACCTTAACGGGTTGGGCCGGACCGGACCGGGCCGAAGTGGACCGGACAGGACCGGCTCTGAGCGGACTACGCCATTTGCCAACAGCTAAAATTTGATAGATGCGGTTTGCAGATGCTGGACCTAAGCGCGCGAGGTGTTGTGCACACGCACACCATACCCCTCCTCCTGAAGTGACCCAAAAGTGTCCAGAAAAGGGATGAAACGGCTGAAAAATGCTTACGACTAGGTTTGGAAAATGTTATTACAAATATATTATGCGTATACATATACAAATATATACATACATCTATACACACGTATATATAGATATATGTATGTATGTATGTATACGCTGTATGTATGTATTCTATGATATATACTAACACTACCCACACTTTCATTATGTATATACAAACATATATATATATATTTACATACATAAATATATGTACATCTATAGCTCGCTCTGTATGTAGCATTATGGCTTGAATATACACGAGCGAAAATGTGCCGTAGGTGTTGTTGTTTTATATAAAAGTACATTATGTGTGAGTGTATGTATGCATATTTAGTTGTATATATGTTTAGATGAAAGTATTTATAAAGGTTCATGTGCATGTACATACATACAAATTTGGCCAGCTTATAAAACTTTAACTGTGGTAGTGGTCAACAGATTGGCAAAGGTTCGTTAAGCCCACGAATGTCCTGAGCGAAGGTTATTGTGAGCAGCACAATGAGTGGCGTTGGTGGATGCGAGTTCTCTTACCCTTGTTACAATATTATGTTTAGTTATACCTAACTTTTTTGAAATAGGGTTAGTAGTGTAATCAAAACGCCACAGTGCAGTAGTAAAATTTGACATAAATTTTACAGCTCACACGTGGCGGCGATTGATGCTGAGGTGAGTCCCGCTGGACAACACCGTCTCATCATCCACGCTCTGTACTCGGATGGGAAGTTATATGACACTAAGTTGGTTAATCTTAAAGCGAAAGATTTGTTATTTATACCATATGAGTATAGATAAAATGTCCGTCTTACTGTCTGTCCGTCTCTCATATGAATTTTTTTTTTAAGGACTTGAAATATGGAACACATAAATATGTGAATATCTCCGATTTATACAGTGTTAAAATTTTTACGATCCCTGCCAAATTGGAAAATGCACTTTCCGATATGCCCGAAATCATATTAGTTGAAGAAAGCTGAAATTCGGAGCGCAGATCTATGACGATCACCCAGGATCAAAAAGCTGTGGCGGATATATATCCGCCCATTGGGCGCGTTCCGAATCGGGTAAAGCTGTATTGACTGGAGTTCTAAATTAAAAACGCTGAAATTTAACACGTGTGCTAATGCTAAAATTCTAGAAAATTCGGTTCTGAAGACTTGGGCTGACCACCCAAATCCAAAAAATATATACCCTGAGAGCGGTCTCAGGGAGCCTGACAAAAAATTTATAAAACGAAATATGTATGAACAGGTAGGAAAGTTCTAGTCGAGATAAGTCGACTACGAAATCCCCTGAGCCCTTCCAAGAATTGATATTTCAATAATTCTTAGCGTCTATCTGCTTACACAAGACACACACACACACAGACACACATAGGCATGAACGCATAAACACTCATGAACTACTGTGTGGGTTAACCATGGGAACTTAATTATTTAATAGCTTTCCTAGTTGACGGACTATCTCCATGAAACTTGTAGATCGAAATGTGATCGCAATAATGAAATGCGTGCATGTGTCAAAGCACAAGTACAATATAAGGTTGAGGGGGTTATATTACAACAAAAAACAGAAATAATATAAATAAATATATATATAAATATATGTAAGTCCACATTTAATGTTTGGAGACTGTAGCTCTAAAGGTGTAGGAGATAGAATTAAATAACTGGCTTTTGATAAGGTCTTTAATCGATAACAAACTATCTGAATTAGTTGTTGATTTTTGGAAAAAAACTCTATATGCGCGTGGTATATGGATCTAAAAAAAATTTCGATTTCAAGTCTTTAGCTCTTATATCCTCTGAGATCGACGGACTGACAGACGGAGGGAGCTAAAACGAGTTAACTCGTCGTCCTGATCAAGAATACTTTACAAGATAGTTTGTGCGTTCTGCCACGCCTCCTTCTGCCTGTAACATACTTTCGACAATGGGTTCTGGGTATAAAAGCACCCAATAGGAGGTTTTGTGCCCTCGATATCAAATGCAACTTGTGCCGCCCTAACCATCGCCGCCACTACATTGCTTCATCAGTTGCTAAAATAACAAGTAAGAAGACTCTAGTCGAGACTGCTCGACTAGGAGATACCCTGAACCCTCCAGTCTGATATTCTAATCATTCGGCACTTATTTTAGGCACACATACATACACACGCACTCATAGAACGTGCTCTGCTAACTGCGCAGTAAGTATTATAAGAATTTATTTGTTGAATAATTTAATTTCTAGACGTACGATCTTAATGAAACTTAAACAGAACACTTCAGCCACGGCTGGGAAATCCAGAAATCAATCGCAATTATTAGAATATATATATATATATACATATATTATATTATATATTAATCTTATATATTATTAGGATGCGCATCCAAAATATAACAAAAATTAAAATGGTTTGAATTATGTATGTATGTAATTTGAAGATCTTAGCTCAAAAGATGTACTAGATATAAAAGAGAATAGCTATCGACGATAGCTATTAGACTTGAAAATTTCACTATATACTCCGTTTGACAGAGTTTGGGCTGCGAATGAGTAGTCTGCAATCGGTAACGCCCGACTGCAACGCTCTTAATGCTTTATAATGCTATACTAGTAACATGTATTTCAATAGAAGAGGTTAACAGTAACTAAATATTACAATTTATAATATCTAGCTTTCAAGGTATAGATTTATGGACTATACTTTTTGCTCTCGACAAATTACAGGGAGCACCTGTTATATAATCAAATATAAATTTGTTAAACTGAATGTTAGAGGCAGAAGGAGTTGTCAACTACGTATCACGTACTGAAAATTGAAAAATGATAATTAAAACTATTCCCCTATACGTATAAAAATGTAAATAATGATGTACTTGGTTTTGTTTGCGTGTAATCATTAAAATATCATCTCTTTGAGGTGTTCAAGGGATCTTGTAGTTAAACAGACAGCTTCGACTAGAGCACTCTTATTTGTTCCGATTTTAGGCGAGCCCGAACTTAAAAGACATTTTTATTATTATTATTTTGTATTGCAAAATAGTCTTAGCTTAAGCATAGCCTTATTACTACTAACATTAATTCTTTATTTGAATGAATTAATATTTTAATATCATATCGCGTGTTGAGTAGTCGGGTATTCCTAACACAAATACTATTATTGGTTTTGGACTCGATAAGGACCAATCTGTCTAATCTGTCCTTTTTGTTTACGTATGTACACAATCAGTGTTTTCTATATTGAGTCAGAAGAATGTCGAAAATATACTTGCCTTATTATAGTTAAATTTTGAATAGATGGCCCAAAGTTCTCTGGGGTAGTGGAAAATTAAAATAGGAGTTTTCATGCACGTTTAACAATTTCTTTATCGTGGATCCTCTCTTACATATTGGTAATGTTTTCTGTTGATTTACTATGAGAAAATTACTGAAAAATAGGCAACATAAACAATAAAATAATTTCAGACGTTGATTCGAATTCTTTTTGCCTTTTTATACCCTGAACCCATTGATTAATGGGAAATCAGGGTATAATGGTTTTGTTGAAATGTATGTAACAGGAGGAGGTCTGACAGACCACACGAAGTATATATATTCTTGATCAGAGCTGAGTCAATTTAGCCCTGTCTGTCCTTCCGTCTGTCTGTCTGTCCGTATGTTTGAGCGCGTCGATTTCAGAAGATATAAGAGCTAGAGGATTCAAATTTCTTTTTTAAATGTCCGTATGTAAAGCGCGCATAGAGTATAGAGCCTATCACTAAAAATCGATAACTCATCCCGTTATTTTGATCGATAAAAACCTTATCGAAAATCAGTCATAAAATTATATCTCTTACATCTTTAAAGTTAGTCTCCAAATTTAAAATAAATATTAAGATGCTTTTTATACAATTTCAATTTTGGTTAAAACTTAACCCCCACCATCCCACCCAGAGCTTTCTTACTTGTTTGTGGTTAAGGTTGGGAAAACCCCTTTTGCACCGTCTTGCCACCCATCTGGAGCTAAGAGCTATCCTGCATCAACCTTCATGCAGAACACTTTCCCGGAAACAACTTTTAGACAAAACCTCATTCTGTTTTCCAACATCATGGATGCTGCAAATTTTCTTTACTATATTCTCTAACTTGGCTGACTTTATTCTCTGCTTTGACTTCAGTGACCTTTTCTGGCAGATCGGCTCTTACCTTCTTACGCATTTAAAGAAAGTCTGATTCGCGATGTCCTTTGAATTTTCGGTAACGGGCAGAAGGAATCATCGGAGACCCCACAAAGTATATATACGCAGTACGAGTTTGCTTTATTTTTACGATAACTCATCCGATACCTTTTTTAATCGAGAATAATCGAAAAATTGATTTTATTTTTTTAGCCCCATTGGAATACTATTAGACGTGGGGACTTCAGATTTACTGTGTATATACATATGATGAATACAACCATTTTGCAATCAAATTTTGGATACCACGTCCCCTTCGCCCCCATTTCGGTATATACATACATTTGCACATTATTTTCACGTTCAGAAAGTTTCTTTAAGATTGTACGTCTAGAAATTAAATTATTCACCAAACTAATTCTCATTATATTGCCCACACTGCAGCGCAGCCCAAGCGCAGTCGCTGTTTACTGCGCAGTTAGCAAAGCGCGTTTTTATACGTGCGTGCGGATGCATGTGTATGTATGTATATGTGTATAAAAGAAGTACAGAATGATTAGAATATCAGATTGGAGGGTTCAGGATATCTCCTAGTCGAGCAGTCTCGACTAGAGCGTTCTTACTTGTTTAATATTTTTTACATACCTTCGAACATTTCTTTCGGCTTACAGGAGGCTTCCTTCATATCATCTTGACTAACTGCGACAAGGATTCCATATATTTTTGTGCTTTTGCTCAAGGATATTGACCGGCTACTATCCCCAAAAGAGCTGCTTCAAACACTGAATGGTACTTCGAATCTATCCTTAAGGCAGTTGTTTTTGCGCCAATAGTAACGGTTTCCGTCATTCTTGTGCTCTTCAAGTGTCCGTTAATACTTTCTTATCATACCAAGGTTTGCCTTTTCTCACTCTATATATCACTATTTTTCGCGTGACATGCGGAGTTAGCACGGTAGCCTATCGCCTCTCACTGCTTTTTGGGCTCTTATGAATGTCACAGAGCCCGAAATCATAGGGCTATTATATTTGGAAATTACGATCACTTTAGTGAAACAATTGCCAGTATTGTCAGTTGCCTTAAGAATTAATATTAATGGATGAAGCGAGAGCGTGAACAGATATATTCTGATTTATTAAACAACACAAGGCGTGCTGTATAATTTAGAGCGTCAATTCGCTATTCGCCAAATACTATTTTTAGCTTTATTACTGATATCAGAGCCATTTTACATGAATCAGGATGCGTATCTTTAGAAGCTATTGCGTATATCTCCAAGTCCATAGGTAAAATAGCGCTCGTAATATATTTGATCCAGTATAAGTGGATGTATAAATGTATGGTCAAACTATAAAAAGAACAATAGCGTATCACATAGTCTTATCTAAGTCCAATTCGTTGCAATTAGTATAAATTATGTATGACAAAGAAAATTCTCAGTTTTGATTCAGTAGACTGTGATGAAAACCCGTGGACCTCAGGCAAACTAACACGGTTATAGCCTTTTAAGGGTTTAAAAAGGGACCCTTGAGTGTTGTTATAACCAGATTCTACTGTTATTTCTTTTTACAAGTAATTACTACTATGGATTCATTATTTTTGGCATATTTTTTTCAAAAGTGTGAATTGTATCTAAAACCGACGGCATTTAAAATTTTGAAAATGAAAAGTTACTCTGATATATATTACAGCCAGTCGTGCCTCGCATGGGAGCTGCGCTCTCCTTGTTTACAAAAACCTAGAGACTGGATGAATACAAATTTCGTATGCCACATACAATAGCTGATCGCATTTTCTTATTATTGACACTAAATGATTATGGGATCTTCGTTTATTGCGTCGAATTTCATACCTAACGTTTAAATAAACCGTACTAGTTTCTGTGGTAAATATACGGAATCCCCTCAAACAATGTAAAATATTTTTAAGTAAATGCGTAGAGAAAATTTCAACTTATCCTAGAGTTCACTGTGGCTCTTAGTCGGGTACACCCGACTGAAGCTCTCACACTTGTTTTGCTTCGAGTTGTGTAGCTTCCTCTCCTCCTGCTGTGTTCTACCATGTCTGCATTCGCAACAAACTTCTAAAACTTAAGAAGCGACTGCAAAGTTTATTTGACCTTGTAAAGTTTTCTACTAAAACGAAAGGGGCATAAAATATGTTTGTAATAAGTTTACTACTATTGAACGCAAATCGCATTGAATTAAGTAAATGATCATTGAAGTACATAATATCCTTCAAGACCTGCACATGTATATCAAATGAGATTAGATGTGTTATCAAGTTATTGTTATGGATATTAATAGAAATAAACTATTAGCTTACTCTTATTTATTGACACTGGCAAAAATAGCCTGCGGCTTAGCAAGAGGATACTATTTATTTACAGAAAAAAAAATTAAATTAAAT